AAGTGGGATTGGAAGAAGATATGCAAATTTTCTTTGGGAAAAAAATGTAGTTTAGACGTGCCCTAAATGTTAGTCATCTGGTTTGAAAGAGATTTACATCTGAAATGTAAGTTAACTGGGAAAAAAGCCAAAGCAAAAGTTTGAAACAGAAAGGAAATGTTTTGAAATTATTGCAACAAAATGGTTCAATTGATCTGAAAAGGTTTTGGTTTTTTGAACATTTTAGATTGACTTTTTGTCTTTATTCAAGACAGGAAAAAAAATGTGAACTTTCAGAACTATTTGTGGGATGGAAGAATCATTTGTGAAGTGGTCTCTGAGGCTATAAAGTGCCACAAAATAATAACCAGGATGCTAAATCCACATTTCACTGTGAGATGCTGTTCAGTGCAAGGGCTGGAGAGAAATCCTCCAATATTACCTGTCAACATTACAGATTTCCAGTGATGCCGTCCTGGCAGTAATGTCAAGAAAGGAACAATTTCATCAACACTTATCCCCTATACAGTGTAGCTTGCCAGGATCATCTGGAATCTCTCTCTCAATCCATTTCCTTGCCAAGGCAGGGACCTAGGGCAAGTCAGTCCCTCCTATTGTCTACCAATGGCACATAACAGTCTAGTCTTCTGTGAGCTGTAGTGTTTTGGTCTAATTTCAAGTGTTAACACGCAGGTGCTGGGTGTGATTAATGTCCTGTGATCTATAGGAGGTCAAGTTACAATGATCTAGTGATTACTTTTGGCCTTAAACTCTATCCCCTCTACCTGTTAGTTGTAAACAGGTGGGGGAAGTAGAGGGACAGGATAACACATGGAATAGGACCGTGTGATTCTTAGCAATGATCTCAGCTCACCACCTTTCCAATCATTTTCAGGATGCAGTTTTTGATGTACATCATGGCAGAAGTGAGTCTGGGGAAGGGACATGGAAGAGGATACAGTAGCGGCTTTATTGCTTTCACCTGGAAGCTGTTCTGATTAGTAGGGGGCAGTGTAGGCCAGTATGTCAGAATCCTTGTGGAGATTGGCACTGGTGGAATGAAGGGGAGAACTGACTTTGCATAAGGTAACAGGCTGGATAGGTGGAGCCTGATAGAGGGACGTTGTGGGGGGTTTGGAAGTATGGACAAGAAGTCAGTGTTTGTGATGGGAGATGAGCCAGTGGATGAATTTTAAAAGGGGCATGATGTAGCCAAAGCATGGAAGATGATTGTGGCAGCTGCATTTTGAATGCATTTGAGAAGGAGAGGGGGCAAGCACTGAGGCCAGCAAGGAGGAGGAAAGAGCAGGGTCAATGCATAAGACAATCAAGGCCCCGAGACGAATTTTGGCTATGTGGGCAGAGAGGGATATAGGCAGAGCTTGGATGTGTAGGTGAAAAGAGATGGCAAAATCCAAGAGGAAGCCATGTCTACCGTTTTACAGAAGGCGAAATGGAGTCACAGAGTCAATTATTTAATTATCAAAATAATTTATGTCAGTAAATGGTATAGAGGGTACACTTACTAAGTTACCCTTTGGAGGGGAAGATTAAAATTCAATCTGGATAAACTATAAAAATTATCTGGAGTAAATAGGATGACAATCAATAAGGACAAATTCAAAGTGCTCTGCTTGGAAAGGTACAATCAATTGCACATAGAAAATGGGAAATGACTGCGTAGGAAGGAATACCATAGAAATACCATAGGAATACCACTGGGAATATCAGTGGATCAGGAGCTAAATAACACAGTGAAACACGGTTGCAAAAAAAGCAAATAATTCTGGGCTGTATCAGCAGGAGTGTTATATGCCAGACAAGTAATTCTATTCTAGTCCATGCAGATTTAGGCCTCAGCTGGAGTACTGTGTCCAATTTTGAGTGCCATATTTCAGGAAAGATGTGGACAAACTGGAGAAAGTTGAGGAGAGCAACAAAAACGATGGAAGATCTAGAAAACATGACTTATCAGGGAAGTCTGAAAAAACTGGGGTTGTTTAGTCTGGAAAAAAAGACTGGGGGTAAAAACGGAACATTATTCTCCTATACATAAAAGGTTGTTACAAGGAGGAAGGTGATGAATTGTTCTTCTTAACGTCTGCAGACAGGACAAGAAGCAATGGGCTTAAATTGCAGCAAGGGTTTGCAATTTAGATTGGACATTAGGAAAAACTTCCTAACTGTCAGGGTAGTTAATCACTGGAACAAAATTGCCCAGGGACGTTGTGGAATCGCCAGCATTGGAGGTTTTTAACAACAGGTTAGACACGTGCCTGTAAGGAATGGTCAGTTATTACATAGCCCTGCACTGAGTGCAGGGGACTGGACTAAGGGACCTCAGTAAGTCACCTCCAGTCCTACACTTTTAGGAATCTGTGGTCACTCAGTGAGTGGGTGGCAAATCTGCTAAGTCACTAGAGTTCCCAGCGCCCAGGCCAGAGCTGCTTGGTTCTCATAATGTTGGCTGCAAGTGAGACAGAAATAAAACAGCCGTAAGATTTCTTTATAATCACTCTGATGAAACCAATGAATGTGCTACACTAAGTACCTGAGTTCTGAAGGAGGTGCATTAGGCCTTTCAGACTGACTCCTATTGCTTAAACCAGGGGTCTCCAACCTACAGCCCCGCCAGAGCATTGCACATGGCACAGCCTGCTTCAACACAATATAGTAAAAGCTGATTTATTAGTGTGTTGGCATCATGCTTGCATCATTTTAGTTTACACAAGAGTGTAAACAGACAATACTTTACAGAGAAACAACCTACCTAAATGCATACAAACAAGTGAACCTAAAATATAAATCAGTAAAGGTGACTTTGTCTAAGTGAGAGCTGTTTGGCTCTCACAAGGTTGTGCTTAGGTTTATGTGGTTCTCTTGTACAATCAGGTTGGGCACTCTGGTCACACACAGTCCCAATAGCGATCATTGGTAATACTTGTGTGTGGCACTTCAGGGCCTGATGAGGTACATTATTTCTATCTGTTGCAGCTCAGCCTGACTATTCACAAACCCTGCTGCTCTTGGCCATCCGTGTGCTATTGCTGAAGTTTCTTCTGTTTGACGTATTGATCACCTGCAGCTTCCTCTTCAAAGGGTAAGACTCCATAACACAGGAAAACTGTAGAGTACAAGGGGACTCTAGTCGTGGCATCCAGTTGCTAGGAAGCTGCAAGAACTTCAGAAGTTATTAAATTGTTGGCAGCAATTAACAAAATAATGAGGTGACTTGAGAGGCCACCATTCTGCAGAAAACAATTCTGCAAATGCAGCTTTCAGCTGAACGTAGGAGACTTTCAGTGATGTAAAGTGGTGCTTAGGGTTCATTTAGAAACAGGTTGGATCACAGCTAGGTCCTAGTTCCTATCCTGACTGTGCTTCAGTCTTGGAATGTCTCCATCCCCTGTGCTGGAGTAGGAATTGCATTCCTCAGTCTTAGCCACCATTAGCAGCCTGAGTTTTCAGCTGGGAAGTAACAGTTAAGTGGACAAGACACTAGAGGGAGAAAAACAGAGGCAGAGCTAGTCAAGCTGTGACTTGCCTCAGGAAGGCTAGTCCCTCCCCCAATCCCCACAAGATCTTCAGCACCTTCAATCACTGCCCCAACCCAGCTCTCCTCCTCTCCCCATTTCTCTCTCTTCTTTATCTGCTCCTCCTCCTTGTAGGCAGAGTAGACGTAGCTGTGTAGGCAGGGCCTAGGACATTAGAGGAACAAGGTGTAGCAGGCAATATCGATCTCCTTGTGCTGCTTGGTGGAACTTAGCACAGCACGGGATGGAAGTGATTGTCCCCTAGATGCCAGAGGAGGCAGCCATTTCTCTCAGGAGGAAGCGGGGATGCTGTTGTCAGAGCTGCTCCCAGCTCACTAGTGGAGTCAGGGGCTGCCACATATTAGGGATGTTAAATTTAAATGAATTAACTAATTGAATAGTCCATGGGACTTCCATCAACTATTCAAGTAGTCAATAAGGGCACCTCCTCCTTTGAACTGTAGCAAGAGCCCTGCCAGGCTCCTGCGCACCTGAGCCTTTGAAACGTACAGGAGCCCCAGTGGGGCTCTTGTACATTACAAAAGCAGAAGCCCAAGGGGCCAGCAGGGAGTCCCTCGCTGGCCCCATGCTCCCTGCTCGGCTTCTGCTTTTGAACCGTAGCAAGAGCCCTGCTAGGGCTCTAGTACATTTCAAAAGCAGAATCCCAGCAGAAGCGGCATGAGCAGAGACTGCTTTCAGTCCCCACTGGCACCATTTCCTGCTGTGCCTCTACCTCCCCTGCTTTGCACAGAGACGGTGCTGGGGGGAACCGGCTTTTAAGTTGGCTCTCACCAGCTCCTGCTCCCCCCTTGCTGCCTCTCTCTGATCGAGGCAGCAAGAGGGGGAAGCAACTAGTCACATCACTAGCCGACTATCTGATAAGCATAAGCTTATCAGATAGGGATGTAAGCAACTGGTCAACTACCACATATATGCTGGCAGAGTTGTCTGCACTGCAGTTTGCAAACTCCAGCACTGGCTCTGCACCCAGAGGTTATGAACACTCTGCCAGTTGTTAGCCAGCCCCACAAAAGGAATAATTTGCAGAGGTGCTGAACACCTGCAGCACCTACTGACTTAAGCAGAGTTTGGGGTGCCCCACCCATCTAAAAGCCAAGTTATCCTGTGCATTGTCCTCTTGCTGGAATGAGAGCAAGAGGACAATACTTGTTTGCGGAACGTTGTAGCTTGGCAAAACATCATCCATCTCTGCAGCACATTCCTAGGTCAGCCTTGTAGAGCAGCAAGCATGTGAAGAGCAAGTAAAGACTGGAAAGCAGAGGCACGATAGAAAATATTCCTTGCCCTCTGCTATCCTCACCTTATTACAACGTTTCATCTCCTTTCAGGGGACGCCAAGCTCTGCCACTGAACTCTACAAATAGTTCATCTGCTCTGGATTGGTTGGGCTATGGAGAACCAGGCTCGCCTGTCAGCATGGAGAGAGGACCAAGGCAAAGAATGAGTCGGACAGAGCTAGTGACAGGAGCTAGCCATCCCATGGGTGGCAGAGAGAGAGCTTCTCACACCATTTCCTTAAACCTTTCACCCTTCTGAGCTAGAGCAAATCAACTGACCCACCAGAAGCTGTCCTCGCAGGAGGACTTGTGCAGTTTACAAGGTGTTGTGCTTGATTTGCTCACCTCTCTACCTGCTACACTGATGTCAGCCAAGACAGGAGCAGTGATGAGCACGTACCATGTGCAGAATAGATGGTTGCAAGCTGGACCGAAGCGTAGGACAGAAGACAACAAACCTAGGCTAATGGTGTACCAAGGCGAGTGGGCTCAGTTTTCCCTCTTGGTCAGAAGTTTTCCTTTTTATATTTGTTTTTTATTGATGTCTTAACGGGATAAACGGCACAGTTTACAGAGGAACATGGCGCTCATAAGCTGCAGCAATGTACTAGTAATACTGATACAGGGCTCATCTCCAGAGCTCCACTTGCAAACGCCAGGAAACACCTTGCTGGTAAAGAAAACCCTTTTTGGGGCAAAGAGAGCAGTTTGTTCTCAGAGTCAGCATGTAGGAAAACTCGCTGGAAAAGTCCTTTGGCTTTTTGGATATAAACAAAAAAACAAAAACACTGACTTTTGAATTTTTTTTAAACAGACAAAACTATTGGTTTCATTCAGCAAACAGTTCTAGACCCTCCCAAACATGCATTTTGTGGAGAAACAATACATTGGGGAAAAAAGTCCCCAGTTCTACTGTTCACACAAATAAAATCCAATCATTGCAAAAATCATGTACAGTCTGAAACGCTCTCAATCCATGTGTAGTTGTTTCTCTCTAGATTAATAACCTCTTCCTGCACAGCTTATTTTTTTGTATCCAAATGCATCTGCTCCAGTTGCAACAGGTGAGAGAGAAGCTCAAAGGCTCCCTCTTCTCAGGTTTTTATAAGGGAAATCAGAAGTAGGGAAAACCCTTTGGAGGCCCAAGGAATCTATCCTGCCTTTTGCACAGGAATCTGCTTCTTTTGCGAATGAGGAGAAGGAAAAGCCCAACCTATTTCATAAACAATTATAATACAGGCAGTCCTCAGGTTACATGGATCCGACTTACATCAGATCCCTACTTACAAACGGGGTGAGGCAACCCCACACTAGCTGCTTCCCCCCAGCAGACCAGGGAGACGCGGAGTGGCTTTTCTCAGCAGACATCTCAGCTTGAGAATAAAGAACTGAGGGAAGTGAGGTGTGGGAGAATAAAACTGAGCTCTGGAGAAATGTTTGGCTAGAGTTTCCCCTACAATATGTACCAGTTCCGACTTACATACAAATTCAACTTGAGAACAAACCTACAGTCCCTATCTTGTACGTAACCCAGGGACTGCCTGTAAAGTCAAACCTGTACAGAACATCCTCATGTGTCCACATTTTTCTGTAACGTGTGTACAGAATACAGTGATGGCAAATGGCTATCCCAGACCTCTTTGTCCATAGCTCTCGCAGCCAACATTTCTGGCTCTTGGGTACTGAAAAAAGAATAATACATTCACCGGTTCTGGCAGCCACAGCAAAGGGTAACTTGGGCATGAAATGAGGGTGGGTGCAAAAAGTGTGGAGAGGGAACTGAATGAAACAAGGTGGGGTGGGGGAGAGGAGCAGATGGTTCAAGCACTCAGAAGCCTATACAAACTATTCAGGCTGAATGGATAGAAAGCAGGGTTTTATGCAAATGAAATAATTTGGGTATTTAACTGGTATAATTTGTATACACAGCACCATGCACCACGCTTGCAAATAAAAGAACCACACAGACTGACCCCCGACTTGCTTTATGCCCACTGTTTCCAAGATCATTCTAGGGGAGCAGGGGCTAGCTGGATAAGAGGATAGGGTAGGCTGTCTGGGAGCAGGGCAGATAAGCACAGGCCAGGTAGGGGTGTCTGTGCCCTCTGTATGTTCTCATCTCCCTGCATCAGGACCTGCTTTGGGTTCCGAGTCCCAAACTAGCTAGTCTGTGAATCCCCTAAAGCAAGGCTACTCAACACATGGCCCATTTGTTTGCGGCTCGTGGTGTAGTTTGGGTTTATGTGGGGCTCAACACATGGCCTGCGGGTGGGAGCCAAAACAAAAAAGGTAGTCAATATAATGATCTTCTGTTGACATGTGTTTTAGGAGTTAAATTCCTGAACTGTCATTGCTCATCAAAAGTGCTGGCATAAGGGTGAAAATCGGGTAAATATTGCATTTTATTAATATCAGCAGAACTGTCTTAAATGGGGCCTGTGTTTTGCATAATCTTGCCTTAAATTTTAATTCATGCCCATCAGAGTGAAAGAAGCTACAGCCGGTCCCCGAGTTGCGAATGGTCTACTTACGACTGTTTGCATTTACAACCGAAGCTATCGTAAATGGCGGACCCCGAGTTACGAACGCGATCCACGCTTACGAACAGCACGGTCGCGTGTAACTCTATGGGGTCCAACTTATGAACAAACCGAGTTACAACCAATTGCTTGGTCCGTAACCAGTTCATAAGTCAGGAAGAGGCTGTATTTGCATGTATATGCAACCACACTTACGTTGCAGCCCTTATCATTGTGGCCCCCAGGGCTTCCAAAGTTAAGTAGCCCTGCCCTAGAGCAATGGTTTTCAAACTTTTTAGACTTGTGTACCCATTTTCAAATAGGGTACATGGTAGACTACCTTATCTTAGATAGGATCATAATATACCTATGAAAGCAGAACAAAAACCTCTAAGGAATAACATGATTCAACAACATACAGGTCTTGGAGAGTGTCATCCTAGATACAATTATTGTTGTTAATGAACTTTATTATATATACTTTCACTTTGGATAAAAGTAGTCCCTCAAACAAGTTACTAATTGTTCCAAACGTTGAAATGACAATGAAAACTTCCCATTTATTGTAATTAAATAAATTAAGGGTCCATGCTGATCTCAATCACTCAGACATAATCCACGGTAGCCTGTTCATGACTAAGCATTTAAAAATGTCAAATCAGGTATTCTTGTTCATAATAGATACAGAAAAGGAGGCAAAGAAAAGTTCACTATCAATGCATTTTTACAGCTGACCTGGGTAATACAAAAAATATATTGGCATTTTTAAATTCTTGGTGACTCATGTATAGTATTTACAGATGCTAATTAAAAATAATATAAATGCTTACCTATCAGTATGATGGATGTCTTTGCTTTACAAATTGCAGATAGCAGGGAAAATTGGATAGAGTTTCAATTGCACAAGTTGTTTTCAGCATTTAATCTTGGATGGTATACAGTCTCAAACAATCACCATGAGGGCAGAGAATCCAATCTCGCAAAGGTATGATGTAGAGAAGGGCATCAGAAATTTGAAAGTTTGTTTTGATAGGTCTGGGTAATCTTCCATTCTTTACACCCAAAAGTCTGCCAAACATTTGCATACACACTCTAATTTAAGCCCGCCATTACAAGAGAGATCTAAAAGTTTTTCCTGCTCACATACTGGCAGAGATATTCAGGCACTGAAATAGATTGCATATCCAGGCATTTGCATTGTCCATTTTGGGGAAATATTTTCTAAGTTGTTGGCTAAGTTGTTGCAAGTGCTCCATAATGTCAGCATTCACACTCTTACATAATGGCATGTGGTAATTTGTTGCAAGAAATTCTAGCAAAGTTAAAAAGTAGCTACACCAAAATAGTCGGTTCTTAATCATGGATTGGATTTTGTCTTGTTTCAAAAATAGTAGTGCTAAGGCCATGAAGGCCTAAACTGAGCTCACTATGTAAAGAAAAATGTGGGCCAAGCTGAAGCCAGGCAGCATCTTCCCATATAGGTGACTCATGGTAGCACTCAGGAGGCGCACCACCACTGATGTCCCTACCATTTAACATTAAAATTTTAATTACTAAATGGGGTGCCCCCTCTCTGCACCCTCTCCAGCTGCAGGTACCAGTCACCACTGTCTGTCTTCCAAGCAAGTAGGGGAGGTGGTCAGTAAAATAATAATAATAATAATAATAATAATAATTGATGCTCACTGCACAGCTCAAAGAATCGTGACAGCACTTTGCCATACAACAGCCAAAGAGCCTTGGTGTTCATTAGGAGCATCAAACGTTCACTTCCCATTTTGTGTCTCAGAATTTTCTTGACTGTAGATACTGACCCTTAATGAAGTTAACCATTTTGACAGCATCAGACAACACTGACAATAAGTCTTCAGTATTCTGGGAGAAGAAAGGACTTCTTTGTGGATGCAGCACTGCACCCACGTGGCTTGTGTGGCTTTGTCCTTGATTCAAAACATGACCCCACCGTGCTTTCCTATAGTCAATTTTGCCTCACCAGTAGAAACCCCTACACAGTGCAACCAGTCAATTCTATTCTCACTCATGAAGTTACCAAGAGGTGAAAAAATCTCTTCTGTTTGGGTAGGCAGGGGACAACAAGAGAAATTTTTTATGATGTATGGTACTTTCATACATATAATAAACATGAACCAACAGATCAGCTCTGCTAGGTAAATCTGTAGACTTGTTGAATTGCATAGAATAATCATCACTATTTCTAATGTGTTTCACAAGCTGAAAGAGAATGTTTTCAGCCATATCAGCAATGCAGCGTGATCCAGTGTTATTGGAGAGGGATAAAGAATCATGGTTTTTTTCCTGCTTTTTCACTACTGCTTTCACAGCAGGTATAAGAAAACCACCTGTGGTTTTCATGTTTTAGTCACTCATACTCAAAGTATGAAGTGTGAAGTGCATTTACATTTCCAATGTAAGAATTTGCAGAATTTTTTTTTACTGCTTTTTAGCTCTTTGTCTTTAAATTGTGTTCAGTCTCTAAAACTGGTGAAGAAGGGCACGCCAGACCAAGTTCAATGTAACTTTCATCATACTTGTGGATTTTTACACCCTTTCTTTGTTCTGCTCAGTCGCATGCTTCCCAGGTTGCACTCCTAACTTCCTCTGCGTTGGCATAGCTACAGCCAGCAGTAATAGTTGAATCAGCTGAAACTGCAGTTGTTGCAGGAGGCTCCTGTTTACCGCTGTGTGTTCCACCCTGGGGGGGGAGCCATATTTTTTCAGTGAACTGAAGATTTAAAAACTCTTAACTCTGAAACCGGGTATCAATAATAGCATCACTTAGACTGTCTGAGTTAGCCTGTCACGCATGTACCAAGGTAGCTGCAGTTTTAACTGAAAGAAGATTAAAAATGGATTAGATTGCCAAATTTTACTAAGTAAAATGCACCACCCTCTCCTCTCCAGCCCAGAACTCCCCCCACAGACACTCCCTCTCCAAGACACCCCTTCCTGGCCCAGAGCTCCCCCCACTGAGACACCCCTTCCTGGCCCAGAGCTCCCCCCACTGAGACACCCCTTCCTGGCCCAGAGCTCCCCCCACTGAGACACCCCTTCCTGGCCCAGAGCTCCCCCCACTGAGACACCCCTTCCTGGCCCAGAGCTCCCCCCACTGAGACACCCCTTCCTGGCCCAGAGCTCCCCCCACTGAGACACCCCTTCCTGGCCCAGAGCTCCCCCCACTGAGACACCCCTTCCTGGCCCAGAGCTCCCCCCACTGAGACACCCCTTCCTGGCCCAGAGCTCCCCCCACTGAGACACCCCTTCCTGGCCCAGAGCTCCCCCCACTGAGACACCCCTTCCTGGCCCAGAGCTCCCCCCACTGAGACACCCCTTCCTGGCCCAGAGCTCCCCCCACTGAGACACCCCTTCCTGGCCCAGAGCTCCCCCCACTGAGACACCCCTTCCTGGCCCAGAGCTCCCCCCACTGAGACACCCCTTCCTGGCCCAGAGCTCCCCCCACTGAGACACCCCTTCCTGGCCCAGAGCTCCCCCCACTGAGACACCCCTTCCTGGCCCAGAGCTCCCCCCACTGAGACACCCCTTCCTGGCCCAGAGCTCCCCCCACTGAGACACCCCTTCCTGGCCCAGAGCTCCCCCCACTGAGACACCCCTTCCTGGCCCAGAGCTCCCCCCACTGAGACACCCCTTCCTGGCCCAGAGCTCCCCCCACTGAGACACCCCTTCCTGGCCCAGAGCTCCCCCCACTGAGACACCCCTTCCTGGCCCAGAGCTCCCCCCACTGAGACACCCCTTCCTGGCCCAGAGCTCCCCCCACTGAGACACCCCTTCCTGGCCCAGAGCTCCCCCCACTGAGACACCCCTTCCTGGCCCAGAGCTCCCCCCACTGAGACACCCCTTCCTGGCCCAGAGCTCCCCCCACTGAGACACCCCTTCCTGGCCCAGAGCTCCCCCCACTGAGACACCCCTTCCTGGCCCAGAGCTCCCCCCACTGAGACACCCCTTCCTGGCCCAGAGCTCCCCCCACTGAGACACCCCTTCCTGGCCCAGAGCTCCCCCCACTGAGACACCCCTTCCTGGCCCAGAGCTCCCCCCACTGAGACACCCCTTCCTGGCCCAGAGCTCCCCCCACTGAGACACCCCTTCCTGGCCCAGAGCTCCCCCCACTGAGACACCCCTTCCTGGCCCAGAGCTCCCCCCACTGAGACACCCCTTCCTGGCCCAGAGCTCCCCCCACTGAGACACCCCTTCCTGGCCCAGAGCTCCCCCCACTCTACCGTGGGGGGCGGGGGGGAAGGCCGAAGGGAGCTGCTGCTTCTCCGGGCAGTGGTCAGGGCTTACACCCAGAGGGGTGAGGGCGGGGAGTGCGCCACCGCGCAAGGCCTTTAAGCAAGAAGGAGCAAGAGCCAAAGCTTAGTGCTGTCGGGGAAATTCTGTGCTGAAAAAGAGGAATCGTAGATTGGGGAAGTGGTAAGGGCGGGGGGAGAATCAGGCCAAAGTGTGTGTGGGGGAAGTGGCGGATGTGGTGTGAAATATCCGTAGAATCGTAGAGCTGGAAGAGACCTCAAGAGGTCATCAAGCCCCCTGCCCAAGGCAGGATCAACCCAGCCAGGGCTTTGTCAAGCTGAGACTTAAACATCTCTAGGGATGGAGATTCCACCCCCTCCCTAGGGAACCCAGCCCAGTGCTTCCCACCTGCCTAGGGAAATAGCTTTTTCCTAATATCCAACCTAGACCTCCCCCACTGCAACTTGAGACCGTTGCTCCTTGTTCTGTCACTACTGAGAACAGCCTCTCTCCATCCTCTTTGGAACCTCCCTTCAGGAAGTTGAAGGCTGCTATCAAATCCCCCCTCACTCTTCTCTTCTGCAGACTAAACAAACCCAAATCCCCCAGCCGCTCCTCATAGGCCTTGTGCTCCAGCCCCCTAATCATTTTGGTCGCCCTCCGCGGGACCCTCTCCAATGCGTTCACATCTTTTCTATAGTGGGGGGCCCAGAACTGGACACAATACTCCAGATGTGGCCTCCCCAGAGCCGAGTAAAGGGGAATACTCACATCTCTAGATCTGCTGGCAATGCTGCTCCTAATGCACCCTAATATGCCATTAGCCCTCTTGGCTACAAGGGCACACTATTGGCTTCTTTCCAGCTTCTCATCCACTGTAATCCCTAGGTCCTTTTCTGCTGAACTGCTACTTAGCCATTCGATCCCCAGCCTGTAATCGTGCTTGGGATTCTTCCATCCCAGGTACAGGACTCTATACTTGTCGTTGTTGAACCTCATCAGTTTTCAAAGATAATGGCCAAAGGCTCTGCAATGACATTTGCCAATTCCCTCAGTACCCTCAGAGGCATTCAATCCAGACGCATAGATCTGTGTATGTTTAGCTTTTCTAAATAGTTCCTAACCTGTTCTTTACCCACCAAGGGCTGTCCACCTTCATCCCATGTTGCATTGCCTAATGCATTTGTCTGGGAGCTGACCTTGTCCGTGAAGACAGAGGTAAAGAAAGCATTGAGTACTTCAGCTTTCCCCACATCATCTGTCACTAGGTTACCTCCCTCATCCAATAAGGGCCCCACACCCTCTCTCATCACCTCTTATTGCTAACATGCCTGGAGAAACCTTTCTTGTTATCCTTCACATCCCTTGCTAGCTGCACTTCCAATTGCACTTTTGCCTTCCTGATAACTCCCTTGCATTCTCGAGCAATATATTTATACTCCTCCCTAGTCGTCTGTCCACTTCTTGTCAGCTTCCTTTTTGTGTTTAAGCTCCCAAGGATTTCCCTGGAAAGCCAATCTGGTCGCCTACCGTAATTGCTTTTCTTGCTGCGTATTGGGATGGTTTCCTCCTGTGCCTTTAATAAGTCTTCTTTAAAATACTGCCAGCTCTCCTGGACTCCTTTCCCCTTCATGTCAGCATTCCAGGGAATCCTGCCCATCAGTTCTCTGAGGGAGTCAAAATCTGTGCTTCTGAAGCCAGGGTGTGTATTTTGCTGCTCTCTTTTCTTCCTTTGGTCAGGATCCTGAAATCCACCATCTCATGATCACTGTTTCCCAGGTTGTTACCCACCTCTACTTCCCCAACTAGTTCCTCTCTGTTTGTGAGCAGCACGTCAAGCTGCGCACGGCCCCTGGTCGGTTCCTTTTGCACTTGTACCAAGAAGTTAGCCCCAACGTTCTCTAAAAACTTCCTGGATTGTCTGTGTACTACCGTATTGGTCTCCCAACAGATGTCAGGATGATTAGTCGCCCATAAGAACCAGGGCCTGCGATCTGGAAGCTTCTCTCAGTTGTCTGAAGAAAGCCACGTCTACCTCATCCACCCGATCTGGTGGTCTATAGCAGACACCAACCACAACATCACCCCTGTTGCTTCCACCTCTAAACTTAACCCAGAGACTCTCAACAGTCTTTTCTCCGTCTATATACTGGATCTCCGAGACTCATAGTGCTCTCTTACATGCAATGCAACTCTTCCTCCTCCTTTTCTCCCCCGCTTGTTCCTCCTGAACAGTTTATACCCTTCCACAACAGCGCTCCAGTCATGTGAATCATCTTACCAAGTCTCGTTATTCCAATCAAACCATAGTTCTTTGACTGGGCCAGGGCTTCTAATTCTTCCTGTTTGTTTCCCAGGCTTCTTGCATTTGTGTACAAACACCTTAAATAACCAGTTGATCGCCCGACCTTCTCCATCCGAATCAGGGGTCCTCCCTTGTTGCTCATTCCTCCTTGTGTTTCTTCCCAGTATCCGACTTCCTCACTTACCTCAGGGCTTTGGTCACTGTCCCCCGACGAACCTAGTTTAAAGCCCTCCTCACTAGGTTTGCAAGCCTGCCTGCGAAGATGCTCTTTCCAGAGACCAGTGAACTGCTTGCTCTGGGGGGTGGAACCATTAAGCACTGACTGAAGTGTTTCTTGGTTAGCAGTTACACAATAGTTCGCTGATTTGTCAACCAAAAAAATCTCTGGAATAGAAATTCCCTCTCTGACACAGTAGCTGGAGGGTGTCTGGTTTTGTGTGTCAAATAATTATAGAGTGTTCCCTGAAAGCAAGCTACAGTGGGTGCTTTAGTTAGAGGCATGTTTTACTCCAAGCATCTGTTTCTAAAATGCCCCGACTTGCTGGAAATGACCGACTTGTACCTAAAACATGCCAGATCCTTAGGAGAGCAGTACGGTTCAGTGTGCCCACTAACCTGCTTCTGTTTTCTCTTTTCCAGTGTGTAAATATGTGGCACTAGAGCTGAAATCTGCCTTTGAGGAAACTGGGAAGACGAAGGAGGTGATTGACACGAAGTATGGCTTTCTAGATGGAAAGGGATCAGGGATCAAGTACACGCAATCGTAAGTGAATCACTCAGTGGCCGTCTTTGCTGCGCCCCTGGATTAATAAATGCTTTCACAAAGAGCACTTGCGAGCAGCAGGTGGTCTGGCCACCTATCACACTTTGGGGCAAAGGCTGCTTAGGTCTTGTCCGGAGTTGTTTGTGTGGGCAAGGTACGATGCATGTTGAGCCCCTAGCTGGGTTTGAGGGCAGTGGTGCTGCTCTGCATGTTACCAAGAATCGCAGCTCCAAAGCACAGTCACAGAGGTTGGTTTTGAGCTTAGCAGTCTTGGACAGGCCTAACACAGGATCTCCATCATCTGCTGGAAGCTGGACTGAGGTTCAGCTGCTGGCTCTCTGCAGAATTCTGGCAATTCTCTGGCAGCTTCTCTTACTACTTTTTTTTTTTCATAAATGTTAATGGGGTCATCAGCTCTTTGGGCCAGGGTCACTGCTGCTAAATTCCATTTATCTTACGCTCTCCCAACACACTGGATTCCCAATGGGCCTCAGCTGTCTCATTGCAGAAGTTGGCAGACAAAGGTGAGGGTTCTGTAAGCTGAAGCGGAGAAGTTTATGGTGGCTTTAGCCATCTGGGGATTTAGGATAACCGCATGGGCTGGGTCAAGGGGAAGTAGGAGCCTAAGTTGGAATTTAAATAGTCATTATTCAGCTCCAGCGAGATCAGTGGCGCGCTTCCTTAAACCTGCTTCAGATTCTGCCAGTGTGGGCAGATGTCACTGCACTAGGTACGTTCGGCTCACCTCTTCAGGGTTACTAGCCCTCCCAGCTGAGCAGGTAAGAGCTGCAGAACACACGACCCTGACCGGAGCCCTCAGGCAGTCTCCTGGCTAATAGGACTTGGAACATACGCTTGCCAAGGTGCGGCTTTTCTTAGCAAGGGGAAGGGGGCCCAGGCCTTCACTTTCTGCAGAATTTCTGCTTCCATGGACCCTCTTACTGTTAGGCTTGATTTTTGTCAAGGCCGTTAGCGCCTCTTGTGGCTGCATATAGAGACAGTTTGAGTTGAGGCTTAGCCAAGGCACCTGCCTGCTCCTTAGAATGTGTTTTGCACAGGTAACCCACTAGTCTGCTTTTCTGGGATCTGCACTGGCTGGCAGTATGGTTCTGGGTGGGGTTCAAAGTTGTGACTGTAACTTTAGAACCCCCAATGCTGTGGGTCCCCTTTGCCCCCCTCTGGGACACAGCTGTGCCACAATCAGCAGAGGTGCTCAGGCCGGAGCCCTTGAAGTGGAAGTGGGCAGGGGCTCCTGGTAGCAAGCTCTCTGAGAACCTGTTGACTTTGAAAATAGCTTCCCAGCCCTTGGTTTGCCACAGCCAGGCCTTGTGAGCTTCCGGCCGTGCTGCAAAAGCCACCTTTTCTCGCAGGCCTCTGAGAAGGGGCGCACTGATAAACAGACCCAGTGTGTTCCTGGGGAAGAGTTATTGCTTCAGAATCCCTCAGCAGCTTGTCTTCCTGTGGGAGGAGGCAGGCCTGCTGACGTGGGAAGCTGTGAATGTTCTAACCGAATGGCATTATTCCTGAGCGTACGATCCTTTGAAATCCAGTCGCTTGAAGAACTCTAGAGATGTCACCTGGCCCCCAGCCTAGCTCTGCATTGGGGCTGCAGGGTTGATTTCCCGTGCTCACGCTGATCGAGAGGGCCTGCTACAAACAGCAGTGAGGGGGGCAGTACC